ATTCCATTTACAATTCACAAAAACCCTGAGAATAAATATCCATTTTTTTTTACAATGAGTGAACTATAAAAAGAAGGTAATTTGAGACCAGTACAGGACAATATAGCAAGTAATACTAGAAACTTGAATCCAAGATACTGATTCCAAAGTGGAGCTCACTCCATCAGTCCCCACTTCATCTAATCCCAGCTATAATGGTTCTCCTATGTTGTATCACACTCTTCACGTCAAAGACGGTGAGAGAAGGCTGATTAAGAGAAAGCAAGCATTTCTCCTCAAAGCACAACCCCATGGTTGGCATCTTCAAACAAGCTTTGAATCAGTTCATTCTTTTTTCTTTTCCATTGGGTAGCCAGTAAGAGGTCACGCTAATCAACTCTTTATTCAATTCCCTATTAGAAATCACAACCTCTTCAGCCCACCCAGCAAAACTAACTAGCCCTCTCATTCCTCCACAGCACTGAGGTATGTTTACCACTGCAAACAAGAAGACGGGGAGGGGCCAAGAAGAGCATCTAAGTACAATACCATAAAGGTTCAGACTGAAACCGAAATAGAGATAGAGCATTCTCAGTGCTGATGGGCACTTCTTCATTTTCCATTTGTAGCATGAAAATTGGCAATATCATTTAAATAAAATATGTATTTGTATTTACTTTTGCAAAACTTCAATTGTTCTCCATCTTTGCAAACTTGCCAAGACCTTAATAGTTTCATTTAAGAATAACTTATGGTTGATAGGTTTTCCTAGTGTTTTTATACTCTTTTCCTCAAATCTCCCCTAAACTACATATACTGCCCATCAAATAAAAGTGCAAATGTATTTATATTATTTTCTTTAATTTTCATATTTAATTCTTTTCATTTGGACTACTACCCATAGTATCATTATAAGAACACATCTGTTAAAATATCTTCCAACTAAAGCTTGGTAGGCTTTGAATGCTCGATAAAAATCATTCTCTGGGGCTAATGAAGACAGAAACTCTGCCTGTAACAATATTAAGTTTGTTTTCTCCAGTGATTCAGAGAAGTGAGCAATCTGTCAGTAATACATTGAGTGAAATTACTTGTCTTGTAGGAATAACTGCTGACAGTCACTTTATCTCAGGGCTGACCCAAACATCTCCCTGCTGACAAACAAATTACTATGTCTAACTTTGAAAAGGTAACTAGCTTGTTTTTAATTTTGATTGGTCTTTCAGAATCCCTTATACATACACTCAGTCCCATCCTTCACTGTATTTAAAAAAAAAGCAGCAGCAGCAGCAGCAGGAAAAAGTGTTTTGGGGGATAGGTTTGAATTAATGAGTAAGAAAAAAAGGTAAAGAATGAAAGCCTTATCATTTGGAGCCCAGAAAAAGAACTGTTAGTGCTTTTTCCCAAGACCGTTACACTGATAAAACTGGTAAGTGTGTCTACCCAACATTAAGACTGGCAGTGCTGCCAGTGACTGGGTGAGTGAACACATTACCAAGGCAGTATTGTAGGAATTAATTTTCTTCAATAAAGTGATTTTTAAGGCTCATATATTTCACAATCTAAACATATGTCACTGTTTCATAAACAAAATAAATGGATTAAAATAATACGTTACCAATATGCTGACATGTGGAGATATTTTAATTAGAAATTCTTAAGCTGTGTGATATTTAACTGCTCTATTTGCTAAAGAGGGCATGTATCATTTAATAAGAAGGCATGAGACAGGTGCATCACTTTGCATGACACAGTACCAGACTGTGTTTAATATAAGCCACAACTATAAAGCAACTTTACTCCTGTTTAAAAACAAAACAAAACAAAACTAAACTAAACAAGGTCACCTTAAGGATCTATCATATTGAAAGTCATCACATACAATGAATCAATACACTGAAACCACTTTTTCCTTTGGGGTAAAAAAGTCATTCAGAGCTTAGTTTCTAAGACAATATTTTTTTCAGAAACAATCTAACATCTTAGCTATTTAAAGGGCATATTTACATGACTGCCTCATTATACTGGTCCCCCTTCCTTAACATTCTTTTCGACTTACTTGGAGCACCAATGCTAACATAGCCGAGGAAAGCAAATGGCAACTGGTCCTGAAATTTATACGGGTAGAGAACTGGAATAAGTAGCAATATAATATATTGTTTACTATAGTAAATGTCCTCTGTTCTCGAAAGGTCAAAAACACTGTAACCTTAGAGTTACAGTTTCTGATTGTTCCCAGGGTTAAATACATTATCAAAATTAATGGTTCAAGCCCCTCAACATTCAGATATATGAGTATTCATGACCCCATCTGCTGAACTGTTCAACTAAAAATAGCATTCTTCGGCCTGCTCTCCTCTAATATTGTGCCCCTGAGGCAGAGAAAACCATGCCTTAGATTAGCACAGAAAACTGAAAAAGAAAAAAAAAAAACAAAAATCCTTTCCTGCATCTTCCTTATTCTGGAGAAAGAAAAAACTGAAATACCCGAATGCAAGGAGGGTCTTTTCACTTTAAATACCTTTTCTCTATTTGATAACAAAATTTCAGGCTTCCAGGGTGTTGAGATAAACACTGCTGAGATTTACCCAGGCTTATTGATGTGAGAAGTGACAAGCTTTGAAGGACAAGTTAACTTGCCCTGAGCAGTGCAGCAGGGTGCGTGTGGAGGTGGTGGGGTGGTAGTGGTGTGTATGTGTTGTAGGCTCTTCTTACTAAAACTCTCCATTTAGAAATAAAGCCAGTTCACATGGTAATGCTTCCTTAGTATCAACAGTTTATCATGATCAAGATTGTTGACCAAGCTGACATTTTAACTTGTCAAAAAAGAGAACACCTTAGCTAGAAAAGAAAGTAGACTTTAAAATCAATAAAGCAAGATAATATTAATTTTTCTCCATATTCTTACTCAAGATTTAAAATATTAGTGTCTGTAGCAGCTTAGGTATGAGTGTCTACTGTGCTCGTTTGGATGTGCATAAACATCCAAATAAACATGCTATTCTAATACCAGGAAAGTTTGAGAAATCTGCCTTTTGAGCAAGGTCAATCTTTTCTAACCCACATGTCATACAAGCAAACAGAGCAAAAGTTTCCTGACATGTAGAGAAATGTTGCAAAATATGGAAGCAAGAAAATAGAGCAAGCATAAACAAAAGCCCAGGAAACTCTCAAACCAGCCCAAGCTTAAACTACAAAGCTATGAGGACTCCTGCTTCAATGGGTTCTCTATTTAGCCTAATAAAAGTGACAGGCATCAGCATATGCTGTGTGTCTAGATCAGGACTGCTACAGCACCACCAGGATCTGACATTCACATATATGACATTATGGTATGAAGAAGCCCAGCAGAAGCCAGATTTGACAGTATCACAGACCAGTGGTATTTGGGGGAAAGAAGTCAACTTAAGCAACTTTTGAAAAATTAGAAAGAAAAAGATTGGGTAGGAAATTGGCTAAGAGCAGGTTGATGGGATAGAATTCAACACATCAAGAGAAAGTAAAAGTTAACAAAAAGAGAAAGTCTTGCATTTGTGCTAAGGCCACCTGCTTTCACATCCTTTCAAGCACTTTAAAGCTGAACAAACTATCTGTCCTGTGAGGGTAAGCTTGTGAACTGTCATCACACATAAGGGCTTGTTCTTAATGTCCAGTTCTCTCTTTATTCAGCAGTCAATCCTAGGCACAGTAGATTTGCAGAATGTCCAGAAATATGGCACCTTTTCTACATCCAAAAGCCTTAGAAAAGAGATCCCTCCCAGTTGTACAGAAGACAGCAGACACTCTGAAAGGATGTGCCCGGTCACGTCGGAGTGGAAACCCCTGTATACTTCTCATACCACAGTGAAAGGGAAACAGGAAGGTGGGCAGCAAGCTCTGGAACCCTTCCTTAGGCTATTTCCAAGCTGGCCTTTGATTTGTCCTCTTCTTTCTCCTTAGGAATAAACTTTACCATTTTCTAAAAATGCACATTACAAAGCAGCAGAGGTGGCAAAGGGACACTTTATTAAGTATATAGTATTTGATATGTATAGACCAGCAGAGCCAATAGGAGCTGAATATACAACTTTTGCTAGCTGCAATTATTTTCTTTCTTTTTTTAATGCAGTTTCCCATCCTAGGTTAGAATATAAAATGTAGTATTACATCTAACCCAGAAAGTTAAAGAGTGTTTCAGTCTGAGGTAACCTATCCCCATTTTGTGTGTGTGTGTGTGTGTGTGATTCAACAGACAAGTGGCGGCTCTCCAGTACCCAATAGTCCCAGAGAGGGGCACCGATGATACAGGAGGAAAATTAAGTGTGCAATTAGAGAGTGACTAGGTCCCTGTAGAAGAAAAAGACTGGGTTTTCAAAAGAGTCATATAAGCTATCTTCTCCCAACTAGTAAGAATACTCCACAAAACAACAAAGAGTTTTATTGGAAGTTAAATATGAAAGGAATACTATCAAAATTTATGGGATAAAAAGTAATTAGCCAGACCCAGGCTCCCATCTCTGCTTCAGCCTGAGAAAATCAAATTAGAAAACCTGAAATAGGTACAATCAGAAATCCCAGGTGAAAATTCTGACTCTGTGAATATTGTGTAACCTTTGTTAAATAATTTGACCTCTCTGAACCTCTCTTGTTTGTCTGTACAAGCAGGATTATATTCTATCAACTTTACAGGATCAAATGAGATTTTTTAAATGTTTAAGTGTTTTTTAAATATTATACATCACTATACATAAAAACAGTAAAAGAGTAAGGGAAATAAAGATGGTTTGAGGACACTCACAAAGTAAAAATTTTGCGTGAGTACTTATATAGCAGTTAACAACCTGATTCAGGGGCATTTTTTTTACCTTTACCTTTTTTTATGAAAGAAAAGGAGCAAAAATGAGCCTCCTTAAGAATGAAAAAAAGGAAATAATTATGTTTTAGTGTTTAGGTTGAGTATCTGCCACCTTTTTAAAAAGCCTAAAATATGACTGAGCAATCCAGTCCCCCACCCAATGAAGCACCAATGGAAGTATTCATACCTCAATCTGTTTGTGGTTGTAAGAGTGGCCACCACCATGTTCAAAGGTGTCCAAACTCCTGCCAAAACGGTCACTTAGGCCCTTTAGCCTTGGGTTAATTTGTGGGTGGGAAACATGACCCTTCTGTTTAGTTGCATATTCAGAAAAAAAAAAAAGACAAAACATACTGTCAGAACTCATGAAACAGAACACATATTTCTAAATCCAGGGTAATGAGCATACCAAAGAATAGAAAGTAGAAGGGTTAGGACCCAGATGCTCCTTCTTAGAAACTTGGTTACAAGATTAAACAATGATTGTACTGGTTCTTATTTCTGCCTCTGACTCAAGGCTGCACTCTATAGCACAGCCATCAAAAAAGGAGAAATAGATTAGAATTCCTATTAGCAAGGCTTCTTTTTAGATTTTACCAACTTCAGTAAATTCTAGTGTTAGTAGTGAAGAACATCAAGGTTTGAAAGAGAGGTGGGGTTGTTGCTCCTATAAGGTACAGTTTCTAAGTTCTGTTAGGCAGTCTGTAACAGTAACATCTTCAATGCTTTCTGGATAAAGCTTCTAATTATAACATTCCTCAAAGTAATGCAGAAATTCTTATTTGCAGACCCAATTGAAAATGCTCAAAATGTTGTTTTTTTATGGTAAAATATTTGCACATTTTTTTATATTTGAAGTTGTGCAGGGAATAGCAAAGAAGAAAGTAAAATGCCTAGCCAAATGCTATTCCCTAGATTATTTTAGAAAACTAGAAATAATCACAGTAAATTATAAGAATAAAATATACCTTTAAACTTTCCACTGTATTGAAATTAAAATAGATAATTATCATATTCTTTCTAATTATTTCAATTCTGAAGGTTCAACCTATACTTTAATATTATTATCTTTTTGTTAAAATAGACACTCATATTTAAAGTCAATTTCCCATTAAAATAGCAGGTGCTGGAAGGGTTTAAAGATCACCTAGCCCTACTGTAAACCCTTCGTTTTACTGTGAAGAAGATAGGTGGGAATGGTTTTTTCATTCAGCTTCTTAAACACTTTCCCATCAAGTGTAGATTTTAAGTAAGGAACACTAATCCAGAACTTGGTCAGACACCATGCCCAGACTCCCCACCTGGGATGAGGAAGAGGATGCGATGAGACACACACACACAGGTGCAATGTGTTTACATTTTAGTAAATAGCTAAAGTAACTTGTTAATAACAACCCCCTCTTCTATGAGCTGCTAGACAAAATATCCAACATCATTTTCTGTTTTGATGCTTCTATGTAAAAGCTACTTTGGCATAAGTTAAGACATGGCTGAAAACTGACAAGGAAAAAGCTAATGTAGCCAATAACAACTAGCCATGAAGAAATTATAAAACCATTAACTCACCCGATAGAGAGTATACATAGTTCTAAGTCATCATGTCATTTGTCCTTTAAAAATATTGAAACTGGCACTTTTCTATTTGCAGTATGGTAAGTACATAAGGTGTTAATCCTCCTAGGCTATGCTTAAAAAATTATTTAACATTCAGGCCATTATTTAGCATACAGCTGGTTAGCAGTTTTCCACTAAAGTACTGGCTCGTATCCCACATTTTTTTCCTCTGGCACATACCTGGAGCTGTAAAGGGCTGAGTCCAGAAGCAGCAGCAGCTGCCATTGTTGATGGAATGAACTGTACGGGGTAGTTATCACCTGTCGGAAAGAACAATGCATACAGGTTTAGACAATGCATAGGGAAGCGCAGCAGACAAGTACAAACATGGTCCTTGGATTGCCTGAGCTTCACAACATTGCTCTAAGCCCAAACATCTGCAGAAACAAAAGGCTTAGTTGGGCACGGACTTGCAGTGCTGCCTTGGAACTTTTTGTTAACAGATAGCTGGTAGGCAAACTGGCAAAACATGAATGTGATGTTAAAAAAATTAAATGTGCAATTCAAGCATGTTCACTCCATTACAAATCTTGTAATACATCATTTTTTTAAGAGTAAAAAAATATCTTCAAGCCAGGCTGACACTCAGTTCACTGAGAAAGCATTAAGGCTTTTGTATTAGAACAACAAAAAGTTTGGCTTAGTGGACAAAGCAGAGTGTTACAGTCCAAAAAAGATTATGAACTATTGACTGTCCATAACCCTAAACTTTATTTTATAAAAAATAGAAAAAAATTAAAAATGTGAATCTTATCTGCCTACATTCTGTGAAATGCCTGGTACCCCATTGGGAGTGGAAATAATTATTTTTCTGGATTAACTTCTGGATTCTAGGTGGATCCTAGCATCCTGCACACAAGGCACTTATCACTTACTTCTTGGTGATTTGATTAAATAAACGCACATTTTACATGGAATATCTGCATTAGAAGTCTGGAAAGGGTTGCACATGGCTCAGCAGAGCTCAGTGCTACATCTTACTGTGTCCCTGACTCCAGACCACTCCTAAGACGGGGGACTGAAGTATCGCCTGTGCCCTAAGAACACAGACTGTGTGCAGCAACCTGAAGAACCAAGAGAAAGTGATGTGGAGTGTATTGTGATAGTAGTGACTGAAGTCAAAATTAATACTTGCGGAAAAATTACACAATATCAGTGATTTAATGGAGTATCACTTTGGCTTCGGCTACTTATTTAAAGTCAGTGTTATGTACTATCTCTAGGCTATATTTTAATAGGCTGTTCCTCCACACATTTTTGACATTTATAATGATCATGCTGTTTTGCATGAACTTTTCCACACTGAAAGCTGAATGTAATAATGGAAAACTGGTACAGAAAGAATCACAGTAATAAAGGTAGTCAACTGGAAAGCAATAGAACTTTTTCAGCATGGACACTAATACCTGGAGCCTTCCTGAAGCCCCTGCCTCCTCGGAACTCATCCTGCCTGCCACGGGAAGTGCTGCTCAGCTGGCCCAATGTAAATGTTAAGTTGCTTTCACTTTTAACAAATTGTTAGCTTCTAATCTACACAGTCTCTTTGCATCATATCCATAATACCTCATCAGACCATTGAGCACAGTGTGTGCTTGTACACAGTCCAGTAACAATTGGCTTCTGATTGCATATGGAGCGCGGCTACAATGCATTCACTCACACTACATTGTGCGGGTCTCCTATGGAGTAATGTTCAAAATATCTGATCTTGTTTTTCCCCTTCCATGAGGTTGATTTTGGTTTGCAGTGCTACATGAGCTTTTTAAAAAAGATAACTAGGCCAAATTATTTTTTATACTAAATGACTGTCGCTTTATGCTTAAATAATTCTACTGATCTTCTTGATATTTAAACTAAATTATCTGATGAAAGAATATTCTGATCTAAGTCAAATAGTATTTCTTTGGTTGATATCTTATCAGGTTAAAAAAATCACAAAACGATGCTGAATTAATGATGCTTCAAAAATAGGGAAAAAAATCACCATTCCAACCATCAACATGGACTGCCTCCCGGAACATTTAGAGCTATTCTTTTTTAAATATCATGCATTATTCATACTAACTCTAAAACACAACCCCCACCCCCTGTAAGTTTAATACCAGTTGCTGTATTTGTACTAAAACATTTTTCATGTCAAACATATTTTAAAAAATCAAACTCTAAAAGAATTCCCCGGGGCACTCCTTTTTCATAGCTGTCATGCTTCTATGCTATGAAATAGCTGATTTTTTTTATACTTTTTGGCTTGCTAGTTAATTTATTACTATTTCTACCACACCCTGCAGTATTCTCCAGCTCACCTGCTGGCTACAAACAGCTTTCTCTCCACTGTGACAAGCATATTTTTAAGACGTTCTTAACCTTTCTGCTGGTTTGAATCTGTACTTCTAAATATAATCTTTGGAAAGCTATTTCTCCAGAACATATCATTATATATCAATACTAAAAGTAAAAATGAATACATCAGAGCAACAGAGAATAATTAGAAGATAGAGAAAAAGGAAAAGGCAAGAAAGGGAGAAGATACGGGTGAAGAAAAGAGTGGGATTAAAAGAGAAAAATATAAGAGGGAGAGGGATTTAGGGTATTGTGAAGTTTAATTTTTTTATATAATGAAGTTTTGTGCTCTCCCCCACCCCCTCTAGTTTTCTCTGTGTAAGAGTCAATCAAGAAAAAGTTCTCAGTGGCTGACTTGGCAAGAAATCAGTCAACATGTTGTAGCAATTTTTTTCAAATTTGTCTCTGGATTTGAAATGCTTACGTGAGGACCCATTCTTTTTAAATTTGTACAAAGGAAGAGGAAGCCTGTTAGAACAGGTTGGCTTTGGGCGCTGCTGTGATCTGGCTCTTGCTACCGCTGGTATAAGGAGACAACTCTGAGAGACACTTTGGGGAAGAATGTGCACTCTCTAAATCCATCTTTCCAGCCCTCTAGATTTTCCAACTGACTATTTTTACCTGAGGATTAAGAAAACAGGATTTAAAACCTACAGAAAATTTGCCTAACAGTAGTTTCATTTGTCACAATAGGTAATATTTCTTTGAAATCAAAGCAGCTCCACAGCAAGAGTGCCTGAATGACAGAAATAATATTTTTTAATTCTCAGGGAAACTGAAATGAAGTCAAAACCTATTAAGACTTAAATACAAGAGACAGGGGAGCCTGTACTGAGAAGATGGACCCATTAGACTCTGTCTACCTCCTACAGGAATATTCTCAGTTTGTGTAATTCAAGTCTGTAACTCAGTTTGTAAAAATTCCACTTAAAAAAAAAATTAAAAAATCCCATAGGTAAAATTCTGCCCATTTACTTTGATTCTTCAGAAAAACAAGGGAATGGGATGGTTGTGGTCTTCTGAGATATTCATTTCAGATACTAACCTACTGAGGAAATAATTTTAAAAGGTTGGGAAGAGTAGAGAAGATTCTCCAGTTACTGGCTCAAAGTCTCATACCTTATTTTACACCCTCCAAAAACAGAAGAAAAATACACGACACATCCCCAACTATCTCTCAGATTATTGTGTGGTGGCGTCATAGGACAGTAAATTACCTGAGTTGTCAAATAACTTACATATAGACCTCACTGTAATAAACTGTCATCGTTCTTGCTACAACATACAAATATTTTAATCACTATCACCAATACAGACTTGGACATACCACTTTACATCTTGCCTGGATGTATGTATTCAGAGTAATAAAATATTACAGTTCATCTATATCCAAAGAAATTGCCATAGTCAATCTGAACTTATCTTTGTGAGACATCACATTATACTGGAAGTTAGTAGGTAATGGGTGACACTTTTAGAATCCTAAAAAAGAACAAAACCTTCCATTTGTTCTGAGGACAACTGGACAAAAAACAATGGCAAGGGTTGTTGCACATATTCCTGAGATCACCGTGCTCTTATTTCTCCCACTAAATTCTCCTTCTCTGCTCATCAAAGAAGAGATCATGATAAGAGTCTTGATCTTAGGACTTTCCCTAAGAGTGTCTGCACTGTTTTTGGTAACTTTAAAGAAGCTAGGAATCAAGTATCAATCTTAATTTCTTCATCTATTTCATAGATGTATCTAGGACTATGACCAATATATAAAAATCCATGGAATTTGTCACAATAGCAATTAAATAAGTGAGGGTGGATGAACTGATATAAATCCACCCCCATTATAAGAAATCAAATTAAAATAATGACTCAAAGTTTATGCCTTAATGATAGTTCACCAATGATATAGATTCCATATATGTAGGAGGGACAGTTAAAATAATCTTAATCTCCATAAAACCAAGTTAGTTTACATGGGTGAACATATTTTCTTCCTAGACCTCAACATTTTTATTTAAAAATTAGAGTGCTAATCTGAAAAACCTCAGATGTTTTGTTAATTTCAAATAGATAGATTTAATCAAGTATTTGAGCACCTCCGCTTTAGTTCTGGAAGAGGTAAAAATCTAGCTTTACAACATGTCATTTGGATAACACCACACATAAATTACATTTTTTTCCACAGCAAAAAACAACCACAGAAACTAGACTTTTCTTAATGTTATACACACTTAAACCAATGGTCCCCAACCTTTTTAGCACCAGGGATTGGTTTCATGGAAGACAATTTTTCCATAGACCAGGGATGAGGGAGATAGCTTTATAGCCTGCCACCAGATGCAGCTTAACTGTCACTTGCCACTCAACGATAGAATTTCGGTATGAATCTGCAAGCAACTGATTTATTATGATCTCCATGCAGTCAAACCTCTCCGCTAATGATAATCTGTATTTGCAGCTGCTCCCCAGCACTAGCATCACCGCCTCAGCTCCACCTCAGATCATCAGGCATTACATTCTCATAAGGAGCATGCACCTTAGGTCCCCCATATGCACAGTTCACAGTAGAGTTTGTGCTCCCATGAGAATCTAATGCTATCACCACTGATCTGACAGGAGACAGAGCTCAGATGGTAATGCAAGCAATGGGGAGCTGCTGTAAATATAAATGAAGGAAATATTTTCCTGCCACTACCTCCTGCTGTGCAGCCCTGGTCCTAACAGGCCACAGACTGATGCTGCTCCATGGCCCAGGGTTCGGGGACCCCTGACTCAGGTCATGTCTGCAAAAGTGTAGAGTATCAAATCAATCAATTCTATCTCTACTAACTTCTAGATGGGAAAGCTTGGAAAAATTAAACAACTATTTAACCTTTAGGTTTTTTTTCCTCTTAATAGAATAGAAAAAAATGACACATCTTAG